ATAAAGCTCCGGCCACCTATGGGGAAAAAACAAGCACCCTAAATTGCTGAGCCAAGATCCTGAAGGCAGGAACAATATAAATGTCAATAAGAAGATAGCTGAAAAGCACAGGTGAGCAGAGAAACTCTTGCCCTCTCGCAGCATCCACGAGGATCAGCCAATGTGAATGTTGGGAACGTGTGCCACTGTGACCACCCCTGCCCTGATACAAAGGGGACCTTCTCCCATTCTGCACAACTGTTGCAATGCCATGTGAGCAAAAACCAGAAAGGAAGAACTGGTGGCCAAACAGAGAGTTATTCTAACATGAACTCCAAGGGCTTACATTCACATTTTGTCACAAGCTGAGAAGCCCAGCTTCCACTCTGCTTTCTTTATGTGGCTCTGACTGTCCTCAAGCCACCCCTTCCTCTTCATTCTTTATCCCCATCAGCTGCTCTGCCTCTTAGCTACAGCCCTCCATAATCCAACAAAAATATTTCCCTCTTCCCCATATATTAAAAGACAAAACACTAAAATCCAGGGACAGATCACAATGGAATAAACTGATTTCAGGAGAGTCAATCATGCAAAAGTTTCTCTGCTCTTCTAGTATGAAGTAACAGAGCCCCAGTTTGGTGACACCTACCTTAGGAACTTGTCTGCATTTAGTTCTATAAACTCAGCGTTTCCAAATGTTGGAACACACAGGATGTCTCCCTCCTGGACCAGCCTACAAAAARAAGTGTTTCACAAGTGAAAGAGAAKAAATCCTTCTGGTTGTGGGYGCTCCCTGCCCTGCATCACTAGTGTTTTAACAGAAAATAATGTAACTGTACTGACTCACTCCTTGCCTGTAAATAAAGCTATGAATTTAAGATAAAGATGGCATAGAAGATGAAGGTCATTGGAGTGCCTCATTCAGACAAAATACCCCCTCATCTATGGAGCAGCTGGATCCCACAGACAGCTCTGACAGGCGTATGAAAGATGCTCGGGGAAAAGGTGTCACAAGAGATGGCAACACATCCACTTTTCTGATTGCTCAACCGAAAACTGGGATTACAAACACGGCCCACAATAAAGGTTTGTGGGCAACACTCGTGAGCCCTCAGCACTGGATGGTKGCTCATGAGGAAGGAGACCTGAAGATGACTTCTGAAGGATGGGGCAACAAGTTCYGTGTCCAAGCAGAGCACACTCAGGGCAGGACAATGCAAAGGGATATCCTAAAAGCTCACAGCACCTGCACAGGGGGGATGGACACGCACATCCCGGTGAGGGACACAAACACACAGCGCATCCCACATCTCACCGCGGTGTTTCGAAGTGCCTGTAGAGCACACGATCATAGCTTCCCCGGGTGCTGTAGGCCGGCGAGCAGACGATCTCCAGCTGCAGCTCCTTGGCGAACGGGGGCACGGACAGCACGGAGCGGCTGCCCTTGCCATCGGCGGCGCCGGTCCTTTCGTACCTCTGCGGAGGGGACGGGGCGCGCCGTGAGCCGCGGCCGCCGCGATGCCCCGAGTGCCCGAAGTGCCCGGGGTGCCCGTGCTCGGCTCACCTGCAGGCGGAGGTGCGCGGCGGCGGCGGGGTCGCAGCCCAGGTTGAAGGCCAGAGCCGGTGCCAGCAGCGCGGTGCCCTCGGCCGGTCCGCGGCGGGCGGCCCGCGGGTACTCCCATGGCGGGGGCCGCGCCAGCAGCGCCGCCAGGTGCTCCCGGGCCGAGCCCTCGGCGCCCACCCGCACCCACTCGCCCTGGAACAGCCCCAGCGCCAGCAGCCCGCGCCGGCTCACCCACACCTCCGC